TCCAAACAAACAAATAAATAGAAATAAAAAATAAATGTGGTTTTATTCTATAGTTTTCCTTTTTGGCAGTCAGATTTGAATATCAGTTATATATAGGCAGTAAATGGCCTCTGTGTTTATCCATGGCTTCATGCATGGCTCGTTCCCATTGACTTTACTTAGAAGACATTCGGGCGTGAAAGCCAGGCGAGAGCCCCACACCAAGCATGCCACCAGTGAGACGACATGTAACATCCAAACATCTTACATGAGAAACACTTCGGAATAGTCTTTGCCATCACACATGTGGACACCTTCGTACAAAGACTGTTCTTGACTGAGAAAAAGAAATATGCTGTAATTGGTTTGTGTGTACAGTGCAGGAACCAACATTGTCATCCTTAATCACAGTTAAGGAAGCCTCCCTTAGTGTTATCATCACATAACAGAGAGTTTTCCCCTGGGACAGTCATGACCCAGTGCTAGAGAGGACACAAAGAAGGAGGTAGGGGTTTCCAAGGGCAATTAACTGAATACATATATAACACAGAGATCTATCCACATTTAAAAGGGCTAAATGATGTCACTGTTTCTATTAATAATTGGGTTCTCTTTAAGAACAAACAGCAAAGGGAGTCTGAGCCCACAGGCATCTTGGTTGGTTCTTGGTAGAGACTTCAATCCAGGTGTGTCCTGGTTGTCCATGGGTACCAGATACCTAGAGACTGACCAGTCACCTTGTTAGTGCCCAGGAGAAGAATGAAGTAAAAATAATAATGTTAAAATGATAATTTAAAAAGTAAAAGAAGCATATCAAGAACTTTCAAATTATTGAATTCAAATAACCCAGATGTCTCAAGCTAACCAAAAGCTTCAGTGTTTCAAAGTCATCCATCAGGGAAACCATACGGCAGCCAGTTCCAGTAGATTCTTTCTGCAAAGGAATAGCTGAGGACCTCATTTGTTCATAATTGAAAGGTAACAGGCTGGACAATGATAAACACCCCACCCTCAGGACACATTCCTCACCCTGGCACTGCACTAAGACCTCTCAGAATGTGGTTGGGGAAACCCGGGGCTTCTTACTGGGCTGGGCTGGGCTGGGCCGGGCTGGGCTGGGCCGAGCTGGGCTGGGATACTCTGCCCTGTGTGGGTCTTCCCTGGATTCCTGCCTCAAGAACTTTGGGTAAGAGGACCCAGGGGAGTGTAGGCTGGGGTTAAGACTTCATATATTTGGGCAAAAATCCTGCACTTGATTCCATTTTATCTCTGGTATGGTGTTTCTCTTTGATATGCACCTTTAAGGGTGATAAGACAATCCTCTTTTCCTCATTCTTTGGAGCTGGGAAGAGATGAAAGTTCCCTTCCTATCTAAACTGACATGCTCAGTGAATCCACTCAGCTGCATGTGGAGTCACCAAGATGTTCCATGAGCTGGGAGCTTTATGTGATTTCCCCACTGGGGTGGTAAGCATACGTGTTTCTCTGTCAGCCTGGCATGCCCTTCCCCTACCCTGTATCAGTTTGTTTCTACAAGTCCTTTAGGGCTGGGGACTACCCTCATCCATCCCCAGGCCTGGGTGAGGTACTCCCCTCAGAATCTGGGCTCCATAATTCCCCCCACCCGAGGTGCCTTCACCTCACACTCATGGACTCAGCCAGTTTGCCTGGGGGTCACTTCCCCTGACTGTGACCGATGAGATGACAGGTAACTTTGGCTTCTATATACCCAGTGCTTAAAATGTAGTCATGCTGAATAAGTGTTTATTGGGTGAGCCTTTCCCGGTATCTGTCTGTGCATTCTGATATGTCAGAACATGTGATGGCTTAGTGCTTCATGAAACATCACTAAGAGATTCATTCCTGGGTGAAGCTATTTATTCATTCATTCACAGCAACCTCCAACTCTTGGGCTTAAGCAATCTTCTTGCCTCAGCCTCCCGAGTAGCTGGGACTATGGGCACCTGCCACACCTGGCTAATTTTAGAGATGAGGTCTTGCTCTTGCTCAGGCTGGTCTCAAACCCCTGAGGTCAGGCAATTCACCTGCCTTGGCCTCCCAGTGCACTTTCAAATGAACGTGTGACAAGTGGCAACTGCTCAGAAAGAACACTTACAGGCAGGTGAGACTAACGCAAGCTCATCTTTCTCTAAAGGTTCTCTAAGGCTTCTGTGTCTCTGCACACTCAGCTACAAGTCAGTGGGGGCCTAGCTACCCCAAGGGGGCTTCTTCTGTGATCTTTCCTTCCATGGGGGACCTGCTGCTATAGACACAGAAGCCTGACCTCACCAGGAGGAAGGCTGCATATTCCATGTATAGATGGAACCCGGCCTGGGGGTGTGGGGACAGAGGGCAGGAGAAGAGGCTGCTGCTATGGCTGGATGATAGATCTACCAGCTCAAAACCAAGGGCCAGAAGGAACACAGATCAGAGTCTGGGAAAAGGGAAAAAACTTTTGCCCTGAATCGCGTCGTCTCAAAAGTGAGCTGCTACGTTGCTTTCAGTGGAGACTTTCTAAGGTGTGTGGCGTTCTACAGAATTTCCCAGGGGGCAGGGGTGGGCATAGCTGTGCTCCACCTGCCCTCCATAGAATATTGCAATTGTAGTCAGTTCTGTTTCCTGGAGCTTGGCACAAGACTCAATTTAAACAAAGCCTTCTAAATGCTTCCATTAAAGAAAAACAAAAACAAACAAATTAAAAAAAATTCCAAACATTTATAGTAACCCCTCATCCACTGCAGAAGTTTTGTTCCCAACATTGGCGCAGCCACAAAAGGGAAGATCAGAGTCTCATGGGGACTCAGGATCTGGACCAATAGAGCAAATGGCATCAGAGATGTCGGAATGAATAAAGCCGGATGCCATAGTTTACCATCTCCTTACACTGATCACCTCAACTTGACCTAATTTCCACATACCAGACATACACCACATGTACGTATCAGTACAGTAGGCCTAGTTCCTTATGTTGACCACTTCCAAATATTGACCAGTTTGTTACAGTCCCTTTGGGTGGTCAACTTACAGTAGAAGAAATGATCAAGATTCCAGAGCTATGCTGTCTGAGAGAGCCTACTATGACGATGGGAATATTCTCTACCTGTGCTGTCCAACATGGGAGGTAAGATCCATGTGTGGCAATGGAGCACTGGCAAAGCAGCCACTAGGATCAAGAGATAGATGCCTAAGTTGGCCTAATTTTAATTATAATTTCAATTTGAACAGACTCAAGTGGACAATGGCTGCTTTACTGGACAGTGTAGCTCCAAAGGGCATTATCCCCAAACCAACATTCTCTAGCATTATCTTTTTCCATTATTTCAGGAGCCACACAGCAGACACACGTTCATACCTAAGCACTGTATTTTGTCTCCTAGGCATATATCTTTAAAACCCTGCAACCAGTCCAGGCATGGTAATCCTAGCATTCTGGGAGATTGAGGTGGGTGGATGGCATGAGCGCAGGAGTTTGAGACCAGCCTGAGCAAGAGCAAGATCCCATCTCTCTAAATCAATGGTTCTCAATCTTCCTAATGCCGTGATGTATTTTCATTGTTACAAAGGGGTTACGACCTACAAGTTAAGAACTGCTGCTCTAAATAAAGAAAAATAAAACCCCCAAACAGCTGGGTGTTGTGGCAGGCACCTGTAGTCCCCGCTGCTTGGGAGGCCAAGGCAGGAAGATTGCTTGATCCCAAGAGTTTGAGGTTTCTGTGAGCTATCATAACACAGTACTCTATCCAGGGTGACAGAGTAAGACTCTGTCTCAAAAACAACAACCTCGAATAGAGCCCTTTCTGAGCCTGCAGTTTTTTTCTTTATTTGAGATAGAGTCTTATTTTGTCACCCTCGGTAGAGTTACCGAGTTACCTCTGCCTTTGCTTTCATAAGGTCCTGCAAAATGTTTTTGCTACAGGGTGCCCTTTCCACAGGTATCCAGAAGGAAGATCTCTTTATCTAGACAAAGTTTTCTACCCATGCGGAGAAAAGGAGGAGAGGAACACATGCAGACTTCTTCTATCTTATCCTGTAGCAGCAGTTCTCAACCTGCGGGTTGTGACCCCTTTGTAACAATGAAGATACATCGCGGCATTAGGAAGGTTGAGAACCACTGTCCTACAGGGCTGTCCTGTGGGGCAAGGAGGCTCTGTTCTCTTGTTGAATGGGACCAAACTGAAAAGCTTCTCTGCAGAGCAGTTTGTGGAAATGAAAACAGACGCCATCAGCTCAGTTAAATCCAACAAGAGTTCCTGCATGCTGCTTGGTGTTCAGATACTCTCTACTATGGCTTCAGGGCTCACCCCCTGGTGTTCTGCCTGCTTCCCACTTCCCTCATTAAGTAGCAACCACAGGTGCTTCTGGGGATGTCATAAGCTGGTGTTCTTCAGGAGAGATCAGAAAACTATCCCCTCACCTATTTCAAAGCTGCCAACAGCTAAGATGGCACAGGCAGAGAGGTGAAGAAGGCCCGCCAACTGAACGCTGGCACCTGGCTGGGGACAGTGCTAAGGGAATGTACTTTTAGGTACTAGGAGACTCCAATTACCCTGGAGTTGCAGACAGCAGAGGAAGCTGAGGTTTTCAGGATCATACAGTTTCATGCACATTTTAGAAGTGCATGATATAAATATTATTCTACTTTGACTGATAGGAAGTTCAGAAACAGAGCAAACCTTTCCATCGACAGGTAGAAGTGACTTGGCAAAGTGCCTCAGCCACCTTTTCTGTCTGCTCTGGCCAGGCCAGCTACTGCTGATTCACGGGCCTCAGGCTGAGCTCTGAGCCATGAGCTGTTTCATAAGCAAACCATTCAATTCTAAGTACTTGCAACCATGATTCTTGCTAAAATGTCCTTTAAGAAATGAAACTGAAGCACCAGGCCACCTAGCCATTGTCATCTAGCCCTTACACACGGAATGCAGGGAAGGGCATTATCAGTAGCCTGTGGGCAAAGGAAACGAAATACTCGGTACACCTGGGCTGGCCTGCAGCTGCAACAGCCCTTTGGGCCTGACACTCACCAGTCCCCCGGGAGTGGCTGAAGTCGCCCTTTACCACACGGCAGGTCTTGCCATCCCCGCTGCAGACTCCGCACCGGTCTTCTTTGGCTGCAGACCCGATAATGCCATCACAGCCAATTTTCTAAAGAAGAAGACGCCTGAGTTATTCTGTGTTTAAGACTCAGAAGATAGGCTCGGCGCCT